GCTTTCGTAAAATCTCATAATTACGCGGAGGGTTTAATTTTAAAGCTGCGTGTCTTGTGCAGGTGTATACCTAGGTGGGAAGAAATGAAAGGCCGCGAACGAGAGAGATGTAAGGAGGCTAATATCTTCGCGGTGCAAAACTGTAAATGGATCGGCGGACATGGCGAACCAGTAAGGACCAGTACAGCAATTTGTATGTGGGCCACGAGAAAGCGCGCTTTTTCCCTCTCTTGGGATATATTCGCGGTTGAGCGATCGTACTGGACCCCTTTTTTTTTTTTTTTTTTTGCAATAAAAGCGAAAACTTATTTTCGTTAATTAAAAAAACCCCAATAAAAGTGATGCGGAACTTCATAAATCCTGATAGTGAAATTCTGGGTTACAGTGATCTTTTGCTAAAAAAATATTCGCGTCGTAAAAGAGGCCATGTGTATTGTAAATCGCCTCACTAGACATCGGATATTATAGATCAGGCTTTAGCGACGGCTCGCCTATGCACAACTTGGCATGACGTCGATAGTTTGCAGCTGTTTCGATTAAGCTTCTACAGCATCAGGAAGCACCGGTAAACGCGTACGCATCCATATGAAATGACGCGATGACTTTTCATTTGGATTACAAAACGCAGGCTGTGAGAGAAAAATAGTAGCGCGTAAGACCTTTATTATGAAAGATGAAGATGATTTCAGCGTCGTCAACATTTAATTCGCATTTCTTTCGATGTGCAACGTAACCGTGATTTCACGCAAAGATGCCTAATGTATCTTCAAGTAGGCTTTCAAGTAAACTTATTTCTGCCATTAATGTCTAAACATTGATGTAGCCTCTGAGTTTTTTTTTTTTTTTTTTAGATAAATGTGCTCGTGATCTTTCTCTCTTTCTCAATAAATTTCTGGAATACTTTGTATCGTCACTATCTCGTTCAAATTCCAGAATACTAGGTTTAGACGTTAATTTCGATTTTTTTTATAAAATTCACTTCTAGATAGAGTCTACTTTATATTATAATTATCACATAGATAGGGAGAGAGAGAGAGAGAGAGAGAGAGAGAAAAGAATTTATGATATTTAGTACTTTATACTACAATATATATAAATCTTAAAAGTTGTATATTTTTAATATCTAAAAATAAAAAAACGATTCACTAATTTATTAACTCAAGTAATTTTCAAGTAATACACGATTATATAATCTGTCTGAATAATTTGTTCGACATTGAGCTTTAATCATATTTCTTGAATTTACTAAATATTTTAATAAATTACGAGGGACCGGTGAAAAATATTTCGTACTTCCTGTATCTTTAGGACAGACGGGGTGGATTTTGTGTAATGGCAGCGGAGATAAAACGAAGCATCAAGCAAGGCCAAGGTAAAGGTAAAAGGTAAAGGAGTGGTACGGGGAATGCGGGACTGGAAGAGAAACCCATGCGCGGCGAGCCACGCAAAAGTCAACGAACCTAAATCAGCGTATACGCGATAATGCACATAATACACGGACTATTTCCTCCGTAAACTTCGATAAGCGTAATCCCACGTTACATTCTTAATCGCAAAGACATATCTTTGTACGATGTGGACATTGTTAGTGCCATTAGGTGTTTAATCATGACGTTTTCGAAATGCTTGTATTTAGAAATCTAATACTGACCAACTTATGTGTTTGAGCATATCCAGATACATTTATTTAAGTAAAATGCGATAAAAAAAATCAAGAGTGACTTTCCATAGACGATATATAATTTAGAAATTATTCTTCGAGCTTCTCTCTTATGCGTCGTTAATTTTCATACAAATGGTATTCCAGTTTGAATCTCGCTCTGAAGTGAAAATTTGATTTATATTCCCTTGTTAAAAATCTCGGAAACTGAAAAGGAATATTAAGATCCAATAAGATGCTATAAGCATCAAAAATTGTTAGATTGCTTGTCAATTTAACTAAGTGATATTACTACGGTAGTTGTTTAGAGTTGCGTTGTAAGTCTGAAGAATTTTCGGCACGCGATTGAGAGGACTACATATGTATACGTGGTAAATAAAATTCACACATTACATCAGCAACCAAAATCCTGCTTGACCGTCATTTGGCCGATTACACATCATATTTACTTGTTCTTGAAAAAGAATGATCCTATATTTATGTAACGTATGCATGGACATCGTATAGAGAGCCTCGCTAGGTTTATACCGTGTATGGGTTTATCACAGACAGAGGCAAACGACCGCCGCATAACTCGCAGCGCCCACCAAGTCACCCGCGAATAAACGGAGTTAACGGTTGATCGTCTCGTATACAAGATACATACAGAATCAGTTTTAGGTTTTGTGCCCGCTTTGCGCGATGGCCGCGTCACACATCGTGTACTTTACCTTCTTAAAATAATATCGCAAATCACTGTTGTGACACTGCGTTCCCCCATTAAATAACATTCATGCGCTAATAATGATGTAGCATAAAACGCACACGAGACCGTGTATTTTTAAAAAGTTCCAACACAATACTGAAGACTGCGACATGATGATGACTTGTTGATTTTCTCACAGAAAACGAACTTTAAATTCATCCGACGTATTTCTACAGTAAAACGTTTTGCACGACGATCTCATTCTAGAATAAGCAAATGCTGTTTCCTATAGGTGATAGTTTTTTTTTTTTTTTCTATCACAACGCCTGTTCATGAATAACGCATCAGTACTGGAGGCGAGAGAAACAAACGTAATCTCGCGGAATCGGAAAGTCGTGAGTTTCCGTCGAAATGACGAATTTAAGGCACTGACACGAATGGGAAAAGAAATCTCGGCCGACATTGTTCTCTCGAGAGGGAAGTGGTGCATTCGGATCGCATGCCAACTGCATTTGCCAATACGTCGCTTAATCCATGCGTAAAATTTGCATAAAGGCTGCCTTTCGGCATGACGAGTCCGTCGCGCCGCAAGCTACGAGTATTGCAAAGTGAAAGCCGCGAAGCTTCGCCGCGGCGAAGTTGGTTTTGCATGTCACGTACAGCTGGTGAAATGCATAAACAGACAGATCGCTTCGTCTGCGATCCTTTTCTGTAAATATAAAGTCAACAAGTGTGACCAAAGGCTGTTACCTCTATTGCTCCGATAATCAATATTTACTTTCCATGAAACTTCCACGCGTAAGAGAAATTTATAATGACGAAAGGGGAAGACGATTGGTTTTTGAATTATAATACTCGATAAAGTCTCATAGTTTCGGGAAATACAATCACGGAACGTTTCAGTGGAGTTTTGTAACGCTTGTTACGTTACGACAATGTTTCCTCTAACGTAAAAGACATCATTAACTAAAAACTATTTTCTTTGCTGTTATTAATGAGATTTCTTCTTTCCTGCATAACGTTCCCGATATATGCTTGCGATTTGAGTACAGAAAAATTATATTAATTATGGTAAATGTGTGCGAGGAAGTACTTCAAGTTGCGGCACTTATAAGGCCGGAATCAGACTACGCATTGAAAATTGAGATTGAAGATTGAAAGATTGAATTTTGGCTAATCAAAATAATAGGAGCTAAAATTTCTTTATCCTCATTGGTCAAATTTCAATTTTCAATCTTCAATCTCAATTTGCAATGCGCAGTCTGATTCCGGCCTAACACAGAATCTGACGAAGCGTAATCAATCTCACGAAAGCATCTTGGCGTATCTTCACTTGGAAACTCTCAAAAGAATTAATAAACGCTTGCAATCTCGTTAAACTCCACTTCGAATTTGTTTTCCTTTTTCCTGATTTTACTCGTGTAAAATCTTCTCTTGATGTTACGTTCAGTTTGACTGATATTTTGTTATCAGTCAATCTCCTGATTCGATTATTATGCAAGTATCAGAACATAAATTAAGCCTGTTTTCACAATGGTTACTTAAAGATCAAAGGTTATTAAGAAATTTATCAATGAAATTCATTCACGAATTTTTTTATTTTTATTTTTAGGTAATCATATATTATGAAAATGAGCCTTAAAATCAGAATCGAAACGGAAAGTAACTTCTTGTTCAAAAATATAAAACTCGCGATTGACATTATTTTTTTTTTTTTTTCTTATAGAAACGTGATATTTTAAAAGGATATTCTCTCTTAAATATATTCTTCAACAATTCTGAACGTTTAGTTATGCTCCGAAGAACGGATGTTAAAATGGGCTGCCGTGAACGGCGATGCTCGATCGTCTTCGTGACGAGAACAATTATCGGCTCGCGGAAGCGTCGGGGCCGCGATGATTTGCACAACGCCCGTAGACGGCCGTCATTTTCCCTTCTGAATTCCATTAACGACTTCTTGGCCGGTCAGCGAAAGTGCGTTGACACACGTACGTCTCGAGCTGCGAGACGAAAGCGCTTTTCTGCGCGTGTCGCACCGTAAAACGACCGTCGCTTCTTCATCTCAGTGAGAAAAATCGACGACTATTTGCGCTTGTAAAAGTGCATCGCAAAAAATTTATAAGCTTCTCGGGTCGTAAAACTATTAGAAAGCGGGTATTATACTCCCGCGGTGTCGGAAAAAGAGCTGTATGCGCGCGGCATATGAGATGTCACGATTTTGTGAATAATAAAGACGATAAGATTACGAGCTACAAACACATCATGGCTTTCTAACAGTCCCTGAGTGTTGTGTATAGCTCGTTAACGTGCCACTCCTCACCATCATCCGACATAAGAGCGTTTGATAAATTATTTATTAGTCTCCTTCCGACCTTATTTTACCGTAATCCTTTCATATTAAATAACTTTAATCGCAACTTTCGTCATACTTTTAATTTTTCCTCAGAGGTTTCGTGTACTCGGCACACTCGGCACGAAATAACATTTCACACTTGATAAATTTCCTAACAAACTTTCTCGAAATAGATATTATTTGATGCAGATTCTGTAGATGATTAATGACAACGTTTTCGCTGTTTTGGATAGCGCGTCTGCTTTCTACGTTTGCACTGAAAGTTAAAGTTGGACTTGTACTCGAAGGTATTATTTACTCACCTGACTTTGACCGACTCGATAGGACGCGGGGTCGACGTCAACGGTGAGCAGCATGTCTTCCACGGCGCGGCGTTCATCGGTCACGGGACTTCCGGGCCGTGCGTTCACGTCGTTTGACAATAGTCCGAATCGACGTCTAAATTCACCTAAGGCCATATGCTTCGGAAATCCAACCTTGTGTAAGCGGATAGCGTCGATTATCTGGCTCCCGCGAATCTATACGAGCACGCATTGAAATATGTGCGTCAGAGTTGTGTATATCTAATATTAGATCTTACTACTAGATCTTTTTATAAACAAAATTAAATGCTGCCAATGAAATTGATTAATTGATTTATAAAAAGCGATATTTAGAAAGTACATATATATGATAAGAGAAAACTGATATCTTTTATTGTGTGTGTTCTGTAAAATTTTATTCTTTTTTTTTATTCTTTCTTTAGAGAGTTTAACATAACTTTACCTGTGATCGCAGAAGAGGCACATTAATGACGCTGTCCTCGCTCTGATTCGATTTCACGGAGAGAAGACTCTTATTGTCGGTACAACCGGCGTTGTGTTGAGGCAGAAGGCAGTGTATAAATTTCACGCGTGTTCTCCGCAGTGTTTCTACGAGACCATCCTGAAGACAATTAACGCTTGTACTTTTCCGCTTAACATGTCAAAGGCGAACGTATAAATAAAGCGAGATAAATAAAGAATCGCCGTATTGTTCTTACTAGATAACGAGCGAGAAATAGAAAAATGAACAGCAGCACAAGGTAGCATCCGAACGTCGTAATGCAGGTTTCACCGAACATTTTCAGCGCGGCTGAAATATATCTCGCGTCTCGCTTAGGGCGAAGGTCAATACGCGTTAAGTTAGCTTGCACGACGCCTGTGCGGCCTTGTGATAATGTTTTATAGAACACGCGATAATAGTCTGATCTTTGACACCGCGTCGACCAATCGCGAATAGCGGCAGAGGAATCGGTCGATGCCGCGAACATTTCAAAAGTGAAATCGAAAGTTCGTTAATAAAGGAGCGAAAGATCGAGACGTTATTAATTTAAATCGCCATCGGAAAGGAATTGATACTCACTACGGTGAATTTTACTTGTAGACAAATATTCTTTCTTTTTACGGCCGTGAATGTTCTTCGTATGCTCGAGGCTCGCCTCAACGATTGCGTGCCCTCAAGTCCTGGCATGGAGCTGCATAGAGCACCGGAAACTCCAGCACCCCGAGCACTTACGAACAACATGCTCACGTGTTCTCTAAAATTTTAATAGCATACAAATATAATGATAGAATTTATTTAACTGATTTAACTTATTAGAAGACTTGGACAAACGAGTCTTTATAACGTTACCTTGTACTTTCTTGAAGTATCGTAATGGCACTCTTGGCGACGGGATTCTCGCGTGTAGCTTTAAGCCAACCGGTGGCAGTATAAAGCACAGGATTTGTTCCCAACAGGTGTTGTAAAACGAACTGATTGTTACCAGGCGCTTTTCGCAGAAGCATTTGGTGATCTATAATTACGACATATCTCATGTACATACATTATTATTTTCGTACGTAAGGTTAGCATAAATATCGCGATATCGAGAAATTTTATTAATTTTACCTCGATCTCCATAATGAGAAAATAAACGATCCAGAAAAGTTTCGTCGCTGCCTCCGGGACATACAGTCTCCTCATCCAGCAGCCAGAGTAATCCTTTTCGTTCCATTTGTCTGCCGCCGCTAAGATCGCTTTGACTAGTTCGCAACATTGTCGCGCTTTGCGAGCTCCCGCGATCCAGGAGGGAAACCAAACCTTGAGGCGACCCAATGCCTTCCTCATCATATTCGTCTTCGTAATCTACGTCGATACCTTCCTGGACGTATCTGAATTTTTACAAGTTGAATATAATATTTAATGTATTCATTTAATGTTATATTCATAATATTTATTTAATAACCATATAAATAATATAAGTTACCTCTACTTCTAATATTTTTAATTAACCTTTTAACTTTCACAAAGAGAAGCAAGTAACTAGGGTAAACATTTTTTAAGCCGAAACACCAAACATTAAGAAACATAACAATATAGTAAAAAAATGTATATGTCTTCATTAGTGAAGAAGTTATAAATATTGAAAAAAAAACCAGAAATGTCCACATTAGTATCAAAAAAGACTACAAATTTGAGACCGTTGCTTCTCCGCTTAAAACTTCGTATTAAAAGTATTAAAACTGCTTGGAACCGATGAAATCCGATAAAAATTTAATGGAAATGAATCAGTCTAATCGGAACAAAAAATCTAACAATTGAAAACAAATAGGAATTAATAGGAAATTTCTATCAGACACTACTTTTAATAATAATTGATATTTACTCAAGAATCTATCGGTAAAACACACGCTTGATTCGGTACTATTCAATTGGAATAAATGGGATATTTATCCTTTATATATAAGTTAAATCGGATTTAGTTTGCTTTCTGACGATAGTCGATTAATCGAAAAAACTTTTTAGTCGAGTTTAATTCAATCTATGTTCCTACAATACATATTCAATATTTGTAGATTGAATCTCGTTTTGATCGCGATCAAGCCTTATTGAATGTATATCGCTGAAAAATCCATTCGACTTATTTGATTTTGTCTACGAATATACTATTGATATCCATTAATTTCCATTAAGTGCTTATTCCGATTTAGAAAAGTCAATGGGAAATCCACTTTTCAATCGGAGATTGCTGTTGCACATTTAGGATTCGAAACCCGTAGGAAATTTTTCAATCAATTTCAATGAAAATCTTTTTAAACATGGCATATTTCGTACCTATCTTTTGGAGCTACCAACGTAGTATGATGAAACAGTAATTGCAGACGTTCCTGCAGATAATTGTGGCAAAGATCTTCGAAAGTTGCACCAGTTTGTCGACCGCACGAAGCAGGATTTTGAAAACCTGGCGAATCACACAGCAGCAGAGATGATACCGTATGTACAGCGGATGATATGGATCTAAAAAATGACAAGAAAATTATTAATAGGATACTGACCAAGAATATAAATGTTAACAAAGTGCTTAATGACTTTGTAGAATTCGATTTTTACGATTTACATTGTTGATGCTACTCAAACTTTCAAGAAGATCTCTTAAAACTCATCAATCTTAATTTTTTAAAATTGTGATATATGAAATATAATAAATGAGAAAAGAAATATTTTATGGCATTCGAAAATTATGGCATTCGAGACGAGCAAAAAATGTATTTAACAAATTCATTACTTGTTGATAAGAGCTGCGACGCAGTGGAAAACTTCGGAATAGAGTCCGACTAGAAGTCCTTCCAAAGCATCAAGTCCCGTGACATCCTTGCCCTGTTCCGTTGGGCTGGGTGTCCTCAGAGCTGGTCTCGGGGTGCTCGGTGTTCCGGCACCTCCTCCATTATTCGAGAACACTACTCGACTCAGTTCCTCCACTGTAGCACCGAGTAGATTGGCGGCTTTCTCCGCGCATTCGACCCTCGCGAACTGCCACCTGCTCTGCGAACTGGTGCCAGCTTTCACGGCGCCAGCACAACTCAAATGATAAATGCCAGCCAGCACCAGCCAAATGACTTTCTCGTCAGCCTCGGAGATGCCGAGTATTCTTAACGCGGCAACGATACGATTAAACTCGACCATAGCACGCTGTTTGTCCTCGTGCTTCTGCAAGGGCGTGACGAAGGGGTTGTTTTCGGCGACTAGATTCGTGAGGTGTAACTCTTTTCTCAGTGCACCCTCCGCGCCTGCTAATAAACGGTAAACAGCGTGAAACGTCGGATCCCCGTTTGCTCGTCGGCCTATCCTTGACTTCTCCAGCAGCAGTATCTTGGGAGAGAAAGCAGAATGTCATTTATTTAAGTCCTAGGTCGAATAGTCTCAGGCAAAAACGTATTTTCTCACTTGTAGAGAAGCCGATGCGATTTGACCCGACTGATCGAAGTCGAGACTGAAGAGCTGCGTGAAACGCGTCGCGTTTGAATTCATATGCGTTCTACTATTTCCGAAAGCCTCGAGAACCGTAAATAGTGCATTTAGCTTTTCGATTGTTAATATCTGTAAAAAAAAAAAGAAACGATCCTCACTTAAAAACAATCCGTATACAAAAAGTGACGATGTTGCAATTTCCTTGTTTATACTCGCCTTGTTAACCGTACCAGCGGCCAGCACAAGATAATGAAGGGCGTGTTTAAAATTCGTCGTTTTCCCCGCTCCACTACGGCCGAGGAAAACTAGAGAATGGTCCCTGCGTGTTGCCAGCATTCCTCTATAGGCTGACTGCGCTATAGCATAAATATGCGGCGGCATGTCTTCGCTTTTGCAACCTCGGAACATATGCGCGACCTAGAGCGCAAGAAGGAGTGGAAAGAATTTTAATTTTAGAGATAAGAATCTCTTAGGCATGAAAATACATATAATAAATATAAAATTTAATAATACATGAATCTCGATGCGAAAGTTTTTTTTTTTTAATTCCCTCTACATAAAGCACAAGTCGACAATGATGTTACAATTTTATAATTTAATCAAATTGTTATACCAAAAAAAAAAAAACTGTGGTACACGAGCAAGTAAACTTCTAAAGCAACCTTGCCTTTTCAGAATAAATCGCCAAAGGCGCGACTGGATTGATAACGATCATGCTGTCTCCTGCATACGTGTGTATCAAGTTACTGGCGTAACGTTGTCGCAGCGTGTGGAGAACGGATGATTCATTCAAAAATCGCAATTGCGAGAGTTCCTCAGCTTTGTCGAACTGAGGTGGATTGGCCTAACAGATGTAAACAATAAGTAAATTATCATGATGTAACGTTTAGGTTGATTGATTAATAAAGTACATAATTAAAAGTCAACTGTAATAAGTAATACCTTCTCTACGTCTTCTTCGTCCACGAGCAATTCCTCTCCGGAGATGGTCAATCGGATCCTCAGTTTCCCTGTGTCGGGATCGGCGGGATCGCATTTCGAGGCCGGAGTGAAACCACCGCGATGCAATAACCAAACTTTTTCGGAAGTTAACCATGCTTGTTCTTGCGCCAAATGTTCTTCCGATCGCGCCTGTGCAACATCAAAAAGAAGCACGTGACATCAGTACGCGTGAATTAGCTATATCTAGTTTCTAAAAAAAGTGAGCAAAAAGATAAAAGAGAAATTAATATAATAATAAGGCTCTATGCGTATAAATAAAAATTAATAAGGGCAGAGAGCCAGTAATATTATAACTACTTTAATTCAAATAATAATAATATAAATTAACAAAAAACAAAATCATACGTTTCGACTCCGATAGTCTTTCTCAATGTTACAAATTAATACAAATCGTTTATTTACAATTTTTATGTGTCTGTTGCGTCAATTAAGTAAAAGTAGAAAAAATAAAAAAGAAAATTTCTTATATTGAGATCCACCTTAAAAAAAAGGTTTTTCGAAAAATTCAATTTTTTTAAATATGCGATTTCGATTCAATAAGTAGCTCTTTTTAGGTATAGATAATTAAAAGGTAAAACTTAAATACCTTTCTTCAATTCTTAATTGTTCTTTAATCAGAAAAAATCCGAGAGGTTGCGTTTAATTGAATAGAGAATTAGCTACGTTCTTTGAAATTATTTGCGTTTTTCTTTTCCGTTTGCTTTCGCAGTCACGCGATGAGATCCTCGCTCTTTTTTCTCCATGGCGCGAAATAAATTCTGTAGTTTTGAGCTTCATAGAAGTTTCCCGCTGATTACTATAAGAACGGTCTAGCGAGGACAGCGCACACCTACACGATTAAAGTACCGGCGACGCGACGTCCTCGACGATTTCGTTACCGGCGGCTGTCAGACACGATGAATCGTTATGAAACGTCTTATTGCGTGGCTACGTATATTACGACTACAGACAAACAGACTTGCGTACCATTAACTACGGCTACTTATTAACATCCAAATGGCATTCACTCAATCCTTTCTATTCCTATCTTCCCTCATTTTCACGTGTCCTTGTATTCCTCTTCAGAATGAAATAACTATTATCTCAAAGGCAGAGACAAATAAGCGTCTTCAATTTGTTACTTTGTATCGAAACAACGTTCTTCAAGAAAGAACAAACGGCCTTATTGACAACTTTACTGAATGTTATCAGTATAACTCTCTAAATTACTAATTAGTTATAATTACAGGACGTTCATTGAAATTATGTAATCATTAAAATAGCTCATTTAAATTAGCGTATCGTTTAGATTTACGCGAACAAAAGTTAAGCGTGTGTCCCGCGGCTCTATTCTCTTTAAATCTGTGAATCACCGTCGTCGGTGCAGCTGCGAGTTCTCGCGTATCGATTTCCGCATCGAGCAATTGCAAAACGGTGACTCGTGTGGTTCCACCAGGTAAGGAAGACAGAACAGTGAGTTTCCTGGTTACATACGTTATTGTATATCAGGTCTCGGGGCTGATTGGTAGAGCACAACGCGCTATTGTTTCACGAATACGCGGCAAACGCCGCGCCGCGCCGCTCGTTCGAAGGCCTAAATGAGGAGATTGTGTTTGAATATTACTATAGCTTGCCCTTTAAACGAGTTTCACGCGCTCTCACGCGATGACAATTTGCCAGATATTTCCTGGATTCTCTAAAGGCGCATATTACGTCGAAGATGAAGCTTTTAATCGAAATTGATAAGTTCGGATAGAGGATAACGTCATTTCTAAGATAAACCTTGTTCGCTTGTATTTTATATTAATTCAAGCTGATGAATTGAGCAGCCTGGCGAAACTTGCGATTTTCTTTAAATCTTTTGCAAAACCATACCTCGTCCGTTTGCGGCGTAACTTTATTTTCCAAAAGGACCTCGAGGCGCTTCATACACTCTCCTTCGTCCTTCGCGCGATCACTTTCTCCGCCACGTTTCACATTCTTCATTATGCCCGATTCTACTTTTCCGTTCTCTCGTATTTTTCGTCTTATCTTTCTAGCCAAGGCCATCTCGAACAACTCCTCCCATTCGATAATGTCCTGAATTGGTTTCGCGCATCTTTGGTGACTCGGCCGACTCCTCTTCGATACTTTCTTCGAGCTGTTGGCCCAGCTATTCTTGAAACTGAACATTCGTATCCCATTATTCATGCTCGGTATCTTCTGCTCTATTTCCGCTGTGATCCTGTGCCACTTGCGTTCCTTCGGCGTTCTAATGACATTACTGTCATTCCAGCCTTTTTCCATTCTCTTGATCCTGTCGTCCATGCATCCTACGCGCAAAGTGTCCGCCCAGCTCTCCTTCTTAAAGCTTTTAGTAGCTCGCAGTGACGGCGAGTACTGATTGAGTCCTTGAGATCCTTTGATTTTTTCTTTGGCATTGGATTTGACGCTTGACGTTCGTTCGAAGACACGATTTGAGTTGATCAGTCGATTATCCGAGCAACCGTTTTGCCCAATTTCGGAGGAGTGCATGCTGTCGCTGTCACTGCACTCCCACGAGCTCGTACTATTTTTGCTATGCTTCCTGTCGAGGACGACACCATTGCTGAACTCGTGCTGCTTGGAAAAATCCTGCGCCGGTGATTTTGGGATTTTTTGCGAGGGAAAGCCTTGGCGATTGTTTTGTTTAGCTATCCCACTGGCATGAGCTTTGCCTCTACAAGATCTGTGAAGAAGATGATGTGCATCGAGCGACATATTATCGACTTCATCCCTGCTGCGCGGCATTTTCTTAGTCTCTCTTCCAAAAGGAGCAGGTTTCACACGTCGTCAGTTTCCCAACGCAATTATCACCAATCCCGACGGGGTTCCTCCTACGCAGCAGGTATTCTTAAGTTTGCTTGAGAATTCACATGTATAGAAATTCTTCATTAACGGTTGAAAGTCGAAAATTTCTTCGTCACTTAGCGCGATCATGTGAGATTATGTCTTTAACGTAAAGCGTTTGAGATAATCCTAAAACCTTGTTATACTATATATATGTTTTTCCTTGACTGCTTTGATTGGTATCCACTCTGTTAGTGAGTCATTAATCTTATCATCCCATTAGTCCCACATCTTTCTGGCAGCCACGACAAGCAATAGAAAACATCAATCACTTAGTTTCCACTCGCAATTCGCTATGGCATATCTTTCAAAGCAGTTCTCGGGAGGTACCGCTGATCATCGTCTCGTCAAACTCGATCGAGATATATACTAATTCATGAAGATACAAATGTCATCACGCAAACTTATCGATTTTCTGACACACGTCTCTCTCAGTTTCCGTTTTAAAACGTTTCAACCAACGACTCACATCCGCGAAAACTGAGACGCGGCTCTTTCCAGGAGGTCCTCTCATGACGCGAGACTGTTACGACGGTCACGAGGACAGGACACTCGGCCACGAGGAGCATCACGGGGGTCTCCCGAGTGTCGACTGAAGCAACGCTGGTGCTCCGAGACAGAGACAGGTCCTCTCGTTGTGGAGAACGAGAGAGGCGTGTGTGTGCCCACGAGAGCCGCCCGGGAGTTCTTTCTCTCCATCACGCGCGAAACGTAATTCTCCCGCTCGCTCACCACTCGTTCCTCCATCCTCGTCCCCCGCTTCTGTCGCGCGGATGTCCCCTCTCGGTTCCTCCATCGGTCGGCCAACCATACGCTCGGCTTTGGTTACTTCAACGTCCTTCCTCCGCGATTATGTACAGACGGCAAACAGTCGGCTAGTAGGCCGATCCGATTTCACGGTGATTGTGGATCAAGATGCAATTAGCGCAAATTCGGAGATCCGAGCGAAATAATTCGACGTCTAGATTTGCGTACTTTTCGCGACACTCACAATCAGTTATTTTGAGAGAATATAAAAAAGGTTATAGACCAAGTCTATAATTCTTTATCGTAAAGTACACCAAAGAAAGCAAACCACAATTTTACATTCGGACCATCATTCAGAATTAAAACGTTCACTAATATATATTCACTCATTTTGTATAAATCTAGTTTGACGCTAATGATATAGATGCGTTCATTGTCTGAAGTTAAATGGCAAGCTTCCTCTTAAGAGGCCACGGAACTCAACCTACGGAAGCGTAACATGAGTGCAACCAGGAATCGTTTCCAAGAAGAACTCGACTTGATCGTTCGGCTTCAAGTATACGTATAGCTGCCGTTTTTACCGTGCAAAGCTCCCGTGTTTTTGAAAGCTTCGAGCGAGACGCGAAGCAAATGCCGGGAGTAGTATAGAAGTGTTTATATATAGCTTTCTACAGAAGGGAGTTCTAGGCACTAGCATGAGAGAAATATCTTATTTAAGGAACTCTCAGCCTAGTCTTGCTTCTTAACATGAAAGCTGCAGGCATATCATGAGTTTCATTTAAATGGTCTTATACTTTGTATTCCGCTTTTTTGTTTTCTCTAAAAATATATTCTGCTAGAATACTCTTTAACTTTTTCGAATTGAAGTTTTACATTCCCCTCACTACTCTCGAATAGAATCGTGACGTTTTTATTTCGATCATAAGCGTGGCGGGAAGAAAATCCGATCTTTTAAAGTCCGAGGAGGCATTCATGGATCGGTCACGTGCAGTAACGTCGAATCGACGACTCGCACGTGTTGCCGAGAGAAGCGCATTCGTGAAGTTTCGAGGGAGCACCGGGCTGCTATTTTAAGAAACTCGTAACACGCGAGATTGCGTCCAACCAAAAGCGAGTTACTCGACGGGCGGACATTGCCACAAACATGCGCCAGTACAGAGAGACGTAATATAACGGCGCGGCAGCCGGTGTTTAGCTCTTTGCGGTCCGAGTATCACCGGCCATGGCCATATTGGTCGCAAGAAACGACCGCAGAATTTCTCGATGTACGAATAATTCGCTTCGCATATATCGGCAATACCCAAGTACATATATGCAGATGCCGTATCGACTGTAATGAAATAAAACGATAAAGCGACTCTTCTCGTTTCAGCTTCTTTCCTCATATCCGATGAAATTCGCAGAGTAAGCGTCACTTGGACGGGATGATACCATTCAAGGACGTGTAGTGTTCGATCGATCGTGAGGAAAGAGGCAATTATGTTTTCTAAACGCGCTATTCTAGGTTTTAAATTATATGCCAGACCGATGACGCA